TGACCACCACCTGGGGGAACAGGGTGGTGTCCACTTTCAAACAAGGAAATCAGGCCATGACTTCCCACCTTTACCCCAACAACAGGATCCTGTGGCTGCTGGGGATCAAGACCAGGGTGACCCTCAGACTATCAGAAGAACGGGAAACCCATTGATGAAGTCAAGGTAATTGACAATATGGTCTAAAATATGATCCAATAAAGTAACCAGTCTTTTAAATATTAAAATGACAATATATGATTTGACTCCAAAACAATTTATTCCACATTTAAAATATTCCCTTTCTCTGCAGTATCTTAATTTAATTCAACAAATTTTTCATTTCTTCATATTCCAAGTGAAAGAGTAAAAGCTGGAACTAAATGCATGAGACAATGGTTTGGCTGTTTAAGATTACCAGTACTCAATGTATTGCCATTTGAAAGTCATTTACACAGCATCATGGTTTGAAGGAATAGAAGTTGTAAATGTGGCTTATTATATTTCTCTTCTAGGAAGGACTTCTGAGCGAAATGGAGTACAACAAACTGAGGGAGAAAGTGGTTGACTTTGCTGAGGAACTTTCCATTTATATAGGAAGAGTTTTAGATCACCTGTATCAGTTTCATGTAATACCAGATGAGGAGACAACAAAGCTTAAAAATGATGCAAAGAGAAATCCACAAGATGCTTGAAGAGATTTGTTCAAAGCACTCCTGGCAACCAGTCCTAAAAAAGAACCAATTAAACATTTAAAAGCTGCATTCAGGGATTCTGGTCTTTGGCATCTGGCAGATGAACTAGAAGTTAGCTACCAGGATGTAGAGGATGAATTACAGAAACTTGGAGGAGATGGGCTTTCTTGTGAAGAGCCGTTGTTGATAGGAATGGCAGCTCCCCCCACACCTGCTACAGGTGAAAACCCTATTGGACCACATTAAAATTACATGTGCAGTGATTGATAGTATGTGTCAAGATTTTTTGTGTTGTTTGGGTCACCGTGGACTAGGAACCTATGGTGTATTTCCACCATATTACTTGGATGCCTTAGATATTATCATCAGATAAATAAAGTGACTTTCTGTTTCTAGTGATATTAAGCAAGCCCTCTGAAAATCTACAATGAGACATCCCTTGATGCAATATAAATATTTCCTACATTTCATACTGAGGGCATTATTTGTGTTGTCATCAGAGCCAGTGAAGACATACCAGTACTTGTAAATATTTAGCTAAGAATAATGACATACATAATGTTGACACTTACGTAGTGAACACTTGTGAACATATGGCCCCATTCAGATCAAGAAGAGCTGAGTGTTAGCTAGGCCCCGACCTAAATATGGCAGACCTACATGAAAGGAAGGAGGCTTAGTCCTGTAATGGTGTCTTCACCTTTCACACGGCTCCCCATACGTCGTCCTTCGACCGCTTGAATTGAGCCGAGATTAAATTACTTTGCCCCTGTAGGGACGATGTGTAGGTAGGCATGTGACATGCGGAGAGACCATTACAGGCCCCCCTTTCATGTAGGTCCGCCATATTTAGGTCGCGGCCTAGCTAGTACTCAGCTCTTATTGATCAGCATGGGGCCTATAACTGAAAATACTGATAGTACTTAATAGAGACACTCTAGATCTTGTAATTATTGAATTGAAAATATTCAAAATACTTAATTAAGACATTCTAGAGCACTTTAGAGTACTTATAAATATTGGATTAAAAATACTAACATTACTTAACGGAGACACTTTAGTACTTGTAAAGTAGTTGTAAATATTGGATTGTAAAATACTGACAACAGATAGTTAAATGTAAAAACCTCTCTAAATAACTGATTTAATGTGGGTAAATAAATAACATCTGTGGTTAGCCCTATGCATTTGTGTCGTCCCAATGGAGCCGAAATTTAATGACTGTACCACCGCAGGGACGACGCATGGAGAGGCGAAGAGACTATTAAAAGAATAGGCGGGTTTTTTTTCATGTATGTCCACCATATTTAGTCCCCAGGATTTGTAAAGCCTGGCTCAACTCGTTGTAAATGCGGTCATAGTTGTAAACCGTACCAAACGGCACCGTTTGCCCTCCAAAACACTCCATGGAGGCCGAGAGTCGGCTTCTTATCGGAGGCTTGTCATTCCTAAAAAAAAAAAACAATCACGTAAGATTGCCACCTGACATTTGGGTGCCTTGGGGCCTGTGAAAGGGAATACCCCTCCCCCAGGACGAATAACCTGTAAGAACTCGGCAAAGTTGTACGGTAAACAGTAGCGGATTTAAGGGGTTTCAAGTGGTTCCTGACCCCCTCCGATTCCTGGAAAACATCAAATCAATGGTCCTCTCTTGAAATTAGAATTTTGACAAGCTGAATCATAGTTGTCAACCGTACCAAATGGCACCGTTCGCCCTCTAAAATACTAAAAATTTTCCGGTCTCCTCTGCGGGCCCCGGGCCCCAGGCCAAAAGGGGGGGGCGTCGGCATTGCATCCGCGCCCCCCCCCTCAAAAATCCTGGGTCCGCCTCTGTCCGACACCCATATTCTTTCTTAATTATATTATGCTAGTTTCCAGAGTTTGACTCTTGATTTATACCGCTCATTTAGCAGCTGCAGGTGACAAGATGATACAACGATTAGCGTAGCATTTATATAAGTAATGGATTAAGACAGACATGGAGTATTCGTTATATTCAATGGCAAAGTGTATCAACATTTTTGGGCAACAATGTATTTCTTGTTACGTTTTATTAAACTTTATTATTGTGTTTTCAGATCTGAGGGAAATTATTTCCACGAATATGATTTCTCGCTTAAGAGAGTTATCTTAGGTGGTAGTGACGTTAGAAAGCCATCTCCGTGCGATTTATTGAAATATCCCCTCTAACAACGCAGATTTTGCTCTCAGCGGTATCGGTTATCTGGACAACATATTGTAAAACAGTTTTCACAAAATTTGACAAGGGTGGTTCAAAGGAAGGAAAGAAATCATTACAAATTAAACAGGCTCTCGATCTTGTATTCTCTTATGCTTCATTACCATTTACATTTTGGTGAAGGTTTGCATTCAATTGTGGGGAGATCTTGAGTTTCATTGGTTTAATTGAGAAATACAGGATGAGGGTAAACTGTGCGTAGTCTTCAGTAATGAAACTGGGATATTAAACAAAAAGAATAAAAAAACGACATACACGTTACCAGAGGGAAGTAGCCTGCATGTTTGGTTCTTCTCCACCCTCGCCTCTCTCCCTATCTGTTTCTCTCCATCTCTCTTACTCTCTCCCTTTCCCCCTCTATATCTCCCTCTTTTTTTCTCTCTGTGTGAGTACTAGTCTCTCTCTCTCTCTCTCTCTCACACACACACACACACACACACACACACACACACACACACACAGGTGTGTGTGCCAAGATTTTGTAACTGTACATGTTCATCTTCACTCTAAAATACTGTTAAAGGGTGTATTTCACAAGTACAGTATATGTACACAAAATATTGTTTTAAAACGCCATAAATTGTACTGTGCAGGGGCATAACCAGACCACTTAAAATTGTACACACAGATTTTGAAAGTTCCCAGGTACGCTTATATTCCGTGAAAAATATACTGAATTTATGGAGAATAATATCATGGTTGGCTCAAAAAATTGTACGCACAGTGCATCCACGCGTATGCCTGGTTACACCCCTGCTGTGCATGCTAATTGTACAGTAATTTTACAGTGGCTGATTTCTTTACTACATTACAGTAGCTTTTGTAATCAACGTGTTCAAATAAGCAAAGAATAGTTTAGTTTTAGTCCAATTTTGTTCAATTTTCTTTTTTTTAACCGAAAAACGTCATTAGTTGACACCATCCCGGACCCAGAACCAGAGATTTTCTACAGTAAGTCATAGCTTTATCAGTTGAATTGTTTCCAAATATGTAGGAAACTTGTTTATACACATGAATGACACAAAACACACACACACACAGAAATAACAAAAAATTAAACGTTCACTCGAGAAAAATGTTGGACCTTAAGTATGACCTCAAAATCATGGCGATGGTCGATCTTTACATCTACATGTATTTAACATACTTGTATAGTGTATCCACTCATTTTCTACAGTGTGATAGGCAAAAAAAGTTGCCAAATTAAATCGTTATAAAACCATAATAATAATAATAATGGCCGTAGCGGGATCTCGCGGCTTCGCAGCCTAATGCTAAAGACACAGTTCACTCCAGGGAAATGACAACGCTGGAGAAGGCGGAGCCAATTTGAAGGCTTGTCATTCGAAGAGTTATGTACTAAGAGGGTGATTTAGTAAAAGGGCAAGTCACTGGAAAAGGGTCAGTCGCTTAAATAAGCAATTCACAGGAGGGATGAGGTGATTGCACATTTAGTTTTCATCATTTGTCTGTTTTATTATTGTGACATTCATTTTAACTGAGCCTACAGTGTCTGAGTTGTAGAGCATGTCATTTGCTGGATATGTTAATATCTGTGTCACTGTGATTGAATTATATGTAAATATCTGTGTCACTGTGATTGAATTATATGTTGATATACATGTATGTGATAGTGTTTGAGCTAACGGGACAGATATCCCACATTCTACCTGCTGTGGTAAGACAACTGATTGTTTGATAAATGTGATAGTGTTTGAGCTGATGGGACAGATATCCCACATTCTACCTGCTGTGGTAAGACAACTGATTGTTTGACAAATGTGATAGTGTTCGAGCTAACGGAACAGATATCCCACATTCTACCTGCTGTGGTAAGACAACTGATTGTTTGACAAATGTGATAGTGTTTGAGCTAACGGGACAGATATCCCACATTCTACCTGCTGTGGTAAGACAACTGATTGTTTGACAAATGTGATAGTGTTTGAGCTAACGGGACAGATATCCCACATTCTACCTGCTGACAAGATTGTTGGTCTTTGAAAAATTTTAATATATTTAATCAATTTTATTAAACCAACACTTATTTTACATTTTCTATATATCATTTGTATACTCCAGATAGCAGTGTTGATAGCCAATGCAGTAGCCCACAGTCTCCAGCCGTCCATTTATGACAGCATCATCCAGATCAAAAGGCTGCCTTACCTGCCCGATATAATCCCCACCAAGTCCAGGTAATAAGTGATATAATCCCCACCAAGTCCAGGTAATATGTGATATCATCCCCACCAAGTCCAGGTAATATGTGATATCATCCCCACCAAGTCCAGGTAATATGTGATATCATCCCTACCAAGTCTAGGTAATATGTGATATCATCCCTACCAAGTCCAGGTAATATGTGATATCATCCCTACCAAGTCCAGGTAATATGTGATATCATCCCCACCAAGTCCAGGTAATATGTGATATCATCCCCACCAAGTCCAGGTAATATGTGATATCATCCCCACCAAGTCCAGGTAATATGTGATATCATCCCCACCAAGTCCAGGTAATATGTGATATCATCCCCACCAAGTCCAGGTAATATGTGATATCATCCCCACCAAGTCCAGGTAATATGTGATATCATCCCTACCAAGTCCAGGTAATATGTGATATCATCCCTACCAAGTCCAGGTAATATGTGATATCATCCCCACCAAGTCCAGGTAATATGTGATATCATCCCCACCAAGTCCAGGTAATATGTGATATCATCCCTACCAAGTCCAGGTAATATGTGACACCATCCCCACCAAGTCCAAGTAATGTGTGATATCATCCCCACCAAGTCCAGGTAATATGTGATATCATCCCCACCAAGTCCAGGCAATATGTGATATCATCCCTACCAAGTCCAAGTAATATGTCATATCATCCCCACCAAGTCCAGGTAATACTTTCAGTACAAAACATTTTTCTGTACGTGCAGTAATCCATGTCAAATGTGTAATCATATCCTTCTTACAGTCCATATTATGTACTTGAGAAGGACTTCATGTGATATATATATAGCTCCCCACGGGCAGCTGCCATGGGTGGAGCACTTTTTCATGGTGTATTGACTTAATTCTCCGATATATATATATATATATATATATATATATATATATATATTTTTTTTAATGTCTGGTGTCTTTGCAGCACTTACAATGTGTTTGTGGAGGACTTCATGATCCGTGACATCAGGTTTATCAGCTATATCGCCACATACCAGGATGTGAAGAATCTATTGGAGACATCCAAGTTAAGGACATTCCCATTGGTGGATGCCCCAGGTAAAGTACACAGACATACGAGGGTTGATTGATAAGTAGTGAGCCTCATATAGAAGGGGTACACGTTTTACAAGTATTTTTCTTCATTTTTCAACATAGTCTCCTTGAGTATCAATACACTTTTGGCAGCGAGTTTTGAGAGCCTCTATGCCACTTTTATAGAAGCCCTTCTCTTGGCCGTTCAGAAACCCCTCCACTTCACGTATGATGTCATAATCTGACACAAAGTGAGTACCTGAAATGGCCTTTTTCAATTTGGGAAATAGATAATAGTCAGAGGGAGCAAGATCAGGCGAAAAAGGTGGATGTTCTTTCAGTTCAAAGCCACACTCGTTGATTTGCAGACAAAGTCCGACTGATGTGTTTCTGATCAACTGTCAGAAGTCGTGGTACCCATCTTACTGAGAGCTATTTCATTTCAAGATCATCTGTAAGAATGGAATGTACTCTTTCCTATGAAATGCCAGTTTTACTGGCTACATATCTTTCTGTAACACGCCTGTCGGTCATCACAATATCATGGACTTTATTGTCCATTTCTGGGGTGGCAACTGTGACAGGCCTCCCAGGATGGGCATCATCCTCAATGCTCTCTTTTCCACGCTTATATTCGGCCACCCACCTTTTAACTGTGGCATATGAAGGGGCATCATTCCCTAGTGTTGCTACCATATCAGTATGGATATCCTTTGGTGTTAGACCTTTCTTATGCAAATATTTAATAACTGCTCTTTCAGAGAGTTTGTTCATTTTGCAAAAGTCACTTGCCTTGCTTATTTGAGAGTGCTACCTCGTCGACATAAACTAACCAAATGACACCAAACTTCGGCTACACACCTTTAAATAGTCAGGGAATTGAAGGGATGAAAAGGGATATTTCTGCTTAACCCCTTCCACACGAGGCTCACTACTTATCAATCAACCCTCGTATGTGGTAGCACGGGTAAAGTTTTGATTCTTTCCTACCAATCAAATGGAGAAGTGCCTGAAATCCCAATCAGGAATCTGTAATGTGTTTTAACCAGGGATGGAACCATGGAACCATGGAAGCAGTGTTGAACCAGTAAGATTTTTTGTTTAAGGCATAATACATTATGAAAGCTCTTCTGTCTGCCCTTATTTTGTCCTGTCTGCTACACCTTGAACATAACGCTGGCATATCAGGAATTCTGTGAGATTCCAAGATATGGGATTTAATAACTGAATATTGTGCACTGTTATGTATTCTTCTTATTGAGTGTTATGTTGTAGTATATCAGTCTTACATGATATTATAAGGTTGTATTGATGTATTTCAATTTGGCACTTTCCTTCCATATTCTGATGAGCTTTTGTGTAATATAATGCTATGTGATTCCAAAGACAATCAAAACATTAGGTATTGCTTATTTCCAGAGTCCATGATTCTGTTTAATGTGTACAGTATAATGCTATGCTATTCAGAAGACAATCAAATCATTATGTTGTGTATATTTCCAGAGTCCATGATTCTCCTTGGGTCTGTACAGAGACTGGAGCTGGAACTGTTACTGGAGGCTCAGCTTGGACGACAGCGATGCCTGGCAGCAGTGGAAGAGGCATTACATAAACGGCAACAGGAAGAGGAGGAGAGGAAGAGAGCCAAGGAACAACTGGAGAAGAGGGCGTCCCAAGGCGATACCGAGGGGACGCGACCAATGGCGGCCTGCAGTGGAGATATGTTGAATGCCGTGAAGGTCCACCGCCAGCCGTCTGCCAGGTTTACAGTGACCCCTGCAGCCAGCAAAGTGGACAGTGGTGGACATGTCCAGTTGAAGCTAGACTCCACGGTAAACAGTGTGTGTGATTGTGGATTTGAATGATAATCATAGGGACCATTCCCACAGATATTTGGAGCAATCTATCTCCCTGAGGAGTCGATCTCACTAGTAAAGCTGTTAGGGTGTAGTTATATCTTTACCCCCTAGCTGATTTGGTAGGCTTGACAGACATTTAAGATGGTTAGTTGATAGCAATTTAGTGAGACTCCCCAGGGAGTTAGATAGATCCAAATTGATGGATTGATCTAGGCATGAGAACCCAGTCTTAATCTTTATTATCCAGAGAGTTGTGATAATATATGTGAAATGATATTACTACATGATCTCTGCCATCATTTCAGCCACCAGAACAAACAGCTAATGGAGACACACTGAAACCACACAAGTACACCAAGGCACCACAGAGAGGGATATTAAAGAAGAGTCCCCGTCCCAGCCCCCGGGCTAGTCCCAGGGCCAGTCCTAAAGGAAGTCCTCAGTCTTCACCTCGCTCTAGTCCACCAGGGTCTGCCAAGACAAGCCCAACACCCAGTCCACAGTTAGGTTAGTCAGCTCTGTGATACTACATTGTTCTCAGAGTAAACTTTTGATGGAACGCAGTCTTGGGCTACTACACTGGTCTGAAAGTTAACTTGGATTAAGAAAATGGCTAAGTTAAAGAACTGTCTAGAAAATATTCCAGTTTTTATTAAAATCACACTACAGTTTCTCAAAAAAAATTTAAAAAAAAATTAAGGGTATGGTATGTATAAAATAACGAATGATCATGAATAATCATTTAAAATTACTGAATTAGAGTAATGTGATTATAAGTAATCTTTACATTAGCTTACTTGATGTGGAGTGGTGATGCTGCAAGATGAGGTTAAAAATTGCTCACATTTAAAAAGAATTTTAACCCTCTATAACAGGTACCTGTATAGTATGTACACCTTTGGGTTTATTTACCATCACACTATTGTTTTCCATGTGCCTTTCTCTGTTTATTTTGATAATGAAGTTTTGATTTTACAGAAAAGAAATTCAGCATTGGGCTGGCAAAAATTTTCAAATCTCGAAGAAAAGAAAGTATCGCAGACAGTACTGCCTCAGAAGATGATGAAGCTCAGGTAACTATGGCAACATACTGTAAACAGCATGGAATGTTTCAGTTAGAAAGTTATGAAGGATTAGCATTGTGAGGACTCGAGTATATCTTATTATATTATATTATATATAGCATTGTGAGTATCATAAGAATCATATATATCTATATCATATTATATCTACATCATATATATATATAGCATCGTGAGGGTAGTGGCTAAGTTTACATTTATCTATTTATCTGTGTTTAATGTTATTTTTTATCTATTTATATCCTTTGCATGTGCTGTAAGTCTCTACATACATGAAGTACCAGTTTGAAGTGAATAGTTGATACTTGAAGATATATATATATATATATATATATATATATATATATATATATATATATATATATATATATATATATATTAATAGAGTGACCATGATGTAAGGTTTAAGAGTGTGATACTTATACTTGTGTCATCCAGACACCATTAAACTACCTAAAGGTCAACATACCTGTATCTACCCAGGCTTGTCAATTGTTTGCCCTCTGAGTCATTACAACAGTTAGTGTGTGGTATTACACCATTTAAAGATACTTACAAAGTCAATTTTTGGTCACAAAAACCAACCAAATGGCAGCATATAGTTACAAGTAGTATAACTAAGAGAATTACCAAAAGGCATTGTTTAATTTTACCCGAAAATGATGTTTGACTAGATTTTTCTGCTGGCATTCTAAGCTGTATGTAAATGGGGCAGGAAAGTAGGTCACGGAAGTAGGTTAAATTTACAACCATAAATTTAAAGAAAGGAGCAGTCTAAAGGTATTTTATGGCTGATCGAGTGATCTATTCAGTTTATCCCTTGGCATGTCAAATTTATTTGAGTCATATAAGAAACTAGTAGAAGTGGTTTACATGTGTTACTGGGAATCCACGCTCTACCAATGCTCGGTTCGTATGTACCTTTAACTACCTGAAGGTCAACATACCTGTATCTACTCAGGCTTGTCAATTGTTTGCCCTCTGAGTCATTACAACAGTTAGTGTGTGGTATTACACCATTAAACTACCTGAAGGTCAACATACCTGAATTCCCCAGGCTTGTCAACTGTTTGTTCTCTGAGTCATTACAACAGTTAGTGTGTGGTATTACACCATTAAACTACCTGAAGGTCAACATACCTGTATCTACCCAGGCTTGTCAACTGTTTGCCCTCTGAGTCATTACAACAGTTAGTGTGTG